GATTTTGGTCTGGGGACTAATGTGTGCCTAATCCAGGCCATGATCTTCACAATTACTTGTTATGCTTCAGAAAGCTGGACAATGACTAAGTATGACAGAAGAAGAACCAATGCCTTCAAATTGTGGTCTTTAAAATACCATGGGCTGCCAAGGAAACAAATAGGTCTTTCTTGAAGAGAGTGAAACTGAGTTCCACATTGGAGGCTAGCATTTTGAAATTCTGTCTCACATACCTTTGGGCACATGGCCAGAAGAGACTGGTCCTTTTAGAAGGTCGTTATGTTCGGAAAGGTGGAGGGACAGTGCAGGAGAGAAAGACCCCAGATGAGATGGGCTGATAGGATTGATACAGTGACTAGGACAATGGAGGTTGGTGTGTCAGATTTAGTGAGACTGGCTCAGGACAGGGAAGGTTTAGAACTGCTGTACATAGGGTCACTATGTGTCATAGGTGACTCAACGGGAGAAAACCACAACAACAACTACATGTTCCATTTCATTTGTGATGACTTCTAATTTTTCTAGCTGCATGCATTCCAGGTTCCAAATATGAATGGATGTTTTCAGCTCTTTCTCCTCATTTTAAGGCTTTATCACTTTAGCAGATAAAGGGTGAAAATTTCAGTCTATGCACATCATTAGACTAGACTCTGTCTGAGGAAATAACTCTTCCCCACTTACATTTTCAGTGTCTTAGGGTGTTATGCTCGTAAACCCAAGGTGGTTCCTGTCTCCAGTTCTAATCCACCATTGGCTTCCATAGAGAAAGATGAGCAATCCCTTTTAGTCTGATTTTCAGCCTCAGAAAACCCACTGTAGACTGAGCTTTGAGTTAGTTCCAACTTGCAGAAATGAGTTTGCAAACAGATGGGCTTTTCTTCTGTCAGTTGTTGTTGATGTTGTTGTTAGGTGCCATCAAATGGAATACAACTCATTAAACAACTACAAACAACAGATCTGACTACTGTTCTATCCTGTACCAAAGACCAAGCATGTCAGTTTAAAACTCAGGTGCATCTGCCTTAATCATGGTATTTTCAATTATTGCTTATTCATATGAAAGTTGAACAATCACTAAGGAAGATCTAAGAATTGATGTCTTTGAATTATGGAGAAGAATACTGAATAAATCATTACTGTTGTTGTTAAGTGCTGTCAAGTCGAATGCACTCATAGCAACCCTATCAACAACAGATCTGAAGCCTATCTTATGTTATCCTCATCAAACAAACAAATAAGTCTTGGACAAAGTATACCAAGGTACACCTTAGAGGTATAAATATAAAATTTCATTTCAGGTATTTTGTGCATGTTTTCAGAATACACTGTTGTTTTTGTTATGTGTCATCGAGTCACCTGAGACCCATGGAGACCCTATGAACAGCTGCTCTGAACCCTTCTCTGTCCTGAGCCAGTCTCACTAAATCTGATATACCAACCCCCACTACCCCAGGTACTGTATCAATCCATCTCATCTATAGTCTTTATCTCCTGCACTGTCCCTCCACCCTTCCA